AGTGTCTATCGATGGCATGAGTGTGAGGGCTGTAGGATCTAAGCCTTGTTTAAGTGCGTAATTATATACTGTGCTGAAAAGCTAGTAAATGTAATCACATATTTGAAATAATATGAAATGTATAAACACAACAGATAACTTCTACACGTTTTGGCGACAAGAAAGGGAGGTGACTGCTTGGTACTATGTTTAAACATTTTCGAGCGTTTCTGCACACGATATTAGCAGACGATACCAGCGACCATAATTTGTGTTTTGTTTTAGGGTTTTGAAAAGGGCGAGGGTGGGGCAGGAACGACAGTTAGTAGCTGCCTCTAAACAAATACTGGAGAAAGAGACAACAAAGAGTGGGGAGGGGGAATCCCTCAAGGAGCCCAAGCCCTCGAGATGCCTTTTATACCCCATTATCTTCCCCTTCTGTAAAATGTACACTATACATCACTACCCAAACAACAATACATCAGTACCCAAACAACAATACATCAGTACCCAAACAACACTACATCAGTACCCAAACAACAATACATCAGTACCCAAACAACAATACATCAGTACCCAAACAACACAACATCAGTACCCAAACAACAATACATCAGTACCCAAACAACAATACATCAGCACCCAAACCACACTACATCAGTACCCAAACAACAATACATCAGTACCCAAACAACAATACATCAGTACCCAAACAACAATACATCAGTACCCAAACAACAATACATCAGTACCCAAACAACACTACATCAGTACCCAAACAACAATACATCAGTACCCAAACAACAATACATCAGCACCCAAACCACACTACATCAGTACCCAAACAACAATACATCAGTACCCAAACAACAATACATCAGTACCCAAACAACAATACATCAGTACCCAAACAACAATACATCAGTACCCAAACAACAATACATCAGTACCCAAACAAAATCAGAACACCGCTGGCAGTTCAGACCTGTGGACAGCTGTCCGTATGTGTGTGGTAGTCAGACACTACATGTTCCTAACTGAACAGATCGCAGGCTGTACCGTGCTAGAGGAACGAAATGGAGGGAAGGTCCTACAGCAAGACGATTTGGAAACACGGATTAGCTAAAGTACGCAGCATGGGCACTGTTTTTAAAAGTATAATTTTTTTAAAGTACATTTGTAATAGGGGACCCTCCATGGTGCAGCGGCTAGACGCTGGCCTTCGTATCAGAAGGTCGTGATTTCGAATCTGTACTATCTGGAATTTTTTTAATAACCTTGGCACCCAAGTTGACCCACCCTAAATGGGTACTAGGGAAAAATGCTAGGAAGTAAAGGTGGTCTACCTTGATCTCGGCATGGGTGATTGTATATGTGTGTATGTGTATATAATGTGTGTGGGCATGTATGTGGGTGTATGTATGCATGCATCTGGGTATGTATGCATGTTTGTGGATACATATATGTATGCAATTGTAGCAGTGTAAATATGTGGGTGTATGTGTGTGTATTTAGGTATGTATGCAAGTATGTATGTGTGTAAAGATGTAGGTGTATGTATAATTGTGTGTATGTATGTATGTATGTATGTATGCACGTGAGTGTAAGTATGTGGTTGTATGTGTGTATTTAGGTACGTATGCAATTATGTATGTAAAGATGTAGGTGTATGTATAGATGTGTGTATGTATGCATGTGTGTATGTATGCATGTGTGTATGTATGCATGTGTGTATGTATGCATGTGTGTATGTATATATATGTATGCATGTGTGTGTGTAAATGTGTGGCTGTGGGTGTATGTGGGTGTCTGTACATGTGATTGTATGTGTGTGTATGCATGCATGTATGTGCAGGTGTGTATGTATGGAATGAATGTGTGTGTGCATGTGTGTGTCTTTGTTTTCTGTTTGTGCATTTATTTCTATGTATGGGTGTGTGTTTTCTGTTTGTGCATTTATTTCTATGTATGGGTGTGTGTTTTCTGTTTGTGCATTTATTTCTATGTATGGGTGTGTGTTTTCTGTTTGTGCATTTATTTCTATGTATGGGTGTGTGTTTTCTGTTTGTGCATTTATTTCTATGTATGGGTGTGTGTTTTCTGTTTGTGCATTTATTTCTATGTATGGGTGTGTGTTTTCTGTTTGTGCATTTATTTCTATGTATGGGTGTGTTTTCTGTTTGTGCATTTATTTCTATGTATGGGTGTGTGTTTTCTGTTTGTGCATTTATTTCTATGTATGGGTGTGTGTTTTCTGCTTGTGCATTTATTTCTATGTATGGGTGTGTGTTTTCTGTTTGTGCATTTATTTCTATGTATGGGTGTGTGTTTTCTGCTTGTGCATTTATTTCTATGTATGGGTGTGTGTTTTCTGCTTGTGCATTTATTTCTATGTATGGGTGTGTGTTTTCTGTTTTGTGTAGATGCGTGTATGTATGTATTAGGTAAGTCTGTATATGAATGTGCATGTATGAGAATGTAAGAGTATATATACATGTGTTTGAGTGTGTAAGATTGTGTACACATGATGTGTTTGCACTATTAAATAATGCATATTTCTTTATTATATCCATAACATGCATTAATGATAACAGGCATTGATACTCTGAAAAATGAGTTCTTAGAAGGGCCGAATGTTAGACGGGCCTGCGTGCCCAATTTGTAACCCTTCGAAAATAAAGTTTGTTCGTTCGTTCGTTCGTTCGGCCGAGAAGCGATCTAGCATCATAAATATGGTCTTGTGAAAATTCAACACTTTCAAGTACACATATCAAAGGGAGAGTATTTTAATCTTTATGGAAACGAACAGTTTGTTGTTTAATTATGTCCCTTAGTAAATTGTATGCTCGTGTGAACATGTGTGCCCGCATACCAGGAGTAGCGAAAAGAGGATACTGGGCATAGGGTAAATTTTTTTTAACATCCTGAAATATGAGGTGGCTTTTTTTTTTTATAGATTAGGTCTAATTTTTGGTTAAGCACGGTAGTTTCCCTGGCTGTCCTAGGCAGTGGCGGGTTCCAGCTAAAGTTAGTGGGGGTGCTGTTGCAGCAAAATGTTTAGCCATTGTTTCCATAAAAACAAAAACAACACAGATTCCTGTATGTGAGTGCCGCCCCAATAGGGGACATAATTTTTCGTTTTTCGAATATAATCTTGTTATCCCATTCTTGGATGCAATTTTTTTGTTATTTGACGCCCTACTCTGGCTCTTGTTAGGGGCCTCAATACAGCCCAGCAATAAATGTGGTCTAATGACTGAATGCGGTTCATGGGACCTCTCCACAGGTGATCCTCATCCATATGGTGGCACTTTGTGTCATCGGATGTTTATCGCTTGTGTGATGTCCTGGTGGGGAAAATGAAGATAGATATATAGATAGGTAATTCGAAAATCCCTATCCGTCCTTTGTCGGGGGCCCTTATATAACCTAACGGTTGAACTGGGTTCTGGAACTTGCCCTCGGGTGATCGTCATCTGAAAGGTGGCACTTAGAAACCCTGTTTAACCCATAGGTAGGGTTATTTTAGAGCGCACGGCAACAGCCTGAGTGGGGTATTAAAATTACGAAAAATTACGTCCCACATAGAATAGTGTGTTAATTTCTAGGGTAGGTAGGTAGGTAGCTGTACCCAGCCAGGACATCACACAAGCGATAAACACCCGGTAAGACAAAGTGCCACCATGGGGATGAGGATCAACCTCGGAGAGTATGTTTAAAAATATTACCCTTTTCCAGTATCCTGATAAACACCCGATGACACAAAGTGCCACCATGTGGATGAGGATCGCCGTGGAGAGGTCCCAGAAACCGCGTTCAGACATTTGGCCATATTTATGGCCTGCCTAAATTGCGGCCCCTGGCAAAAGCCAGAGTAGGGCTTCAAATGACAAAAAATTTCATCCTAATAAGGACGAAACTGGTTTTCATTGTTGAATTTTTACAAGACCATATTTATGATGCTAGATGGCCTGGGCTATATTCAGGGCCCCAGCAGAAGCCAGGGTGGGGCTTCAACAAAAAATTGCATCCCACATTGGGACGACTTTTTGTAAAAAACTAAATTTGTACACATAACACGACAAAATCCTGATCACTAACAATTATTTGTAATTATTAAAAACCGAAACTCTTACTGTTCAACATGGCTATTTAACTCGCTTTTCGCGGAAAAATCTGGTCCATGGAGGTCTAGGAAGTGGCTGGCGGATCAAGTCGTATTGTATTATTTTTCTAGTGATGTATGATGCTTGAGGGAATGCGAGGGTCTAGATGGGGCTGGAGGAGCCCTGCACGGACTGATTGGCGGTCCAGAGTTTAATGTTCCGGTAAAGAGCTGGGATTTTTTTTCACGAGAACTTAGATTTCTAGTAATTCCCCCTGGTCTCTGGGTAGTGAGATCGGATACCCGTTTGCATTGTTTCGCACGTAAAAAAAAAAAATAATCTTTGTCAGTTGGGAATCGAAAGAAGTAGTATAATGGCGCTAAAGTTAAAAATCTTCTTAAAGCATTTCAAGATCCTTGAAGAGCCGTGTTCTATGACGTTGATCCGTTATTCAAACCTCAATCAAGCCTTTGCTGGGGCTCTGGAGTCTGGTCCTTGGGGATCTCCATTTTCACAGTTATGGCCCCTGAGTAAACTTAGTTGAACATCCCTGCCGCACAAACTTGATTCTTTCATTCAAAAACTAAATCCACTATTTTAGGTTGACCTAATGATTAATAAAACGGGGTCAGCCGGCATTGCGTTAGCGACCTTATGTGCAGCTTCCTAATATGTGCACATAGATACAACAGCCAAACACTGTGTCGCTTTAGCTGTGAAATATACAGACTCTAACAAGGATTTTGTAATTATCTCCTAAACTGTGGGATGGCTGCTGACATTACGGTTACATATTTTATAGTGAATAAGTAAACATTGATGTGTCATATCTTATCCAGTCGTCGAGCTGAGGCCAATCTGGCGACATACACGTTATCCACAACAATCTTTACCGACTCCAACTAAATTTGTAAAATGGCAGATGTAGATGATCTCGCTTGCTTATATACTGCCCTCATCTTGGCCGATGATCAAGTAGCAATCACCGGTGAAAAGATTTCAACCCTTCTCAAGGCAGCTGCAGTCTCTGTTGAGCCAAACTGGCCAGGGCTTTTTGCCAAAGCATTGAATGGACTCAATGTGAGAGATCTGATCACCAATGTAAGAAGTTCTGCTGGCGCTGGACCTGCAACCGTTGCTGCCCCAGTTGCTGCTGCTGCTGCCCCAGCTGCAGGCAAACCTGCCGCCGCAGAAGCAAAGAAAGAGGAAAAGAAAGAAGAATCTGAAGCATCTGATGATGACATGGGCTTTGGTCTGTTTGACAAATCGCCATTGACAGTGAAATAAATGTAAAGAGAGAGAGAGAGAGAGAGAGAGAGAGAGAGAGAGAGAGAGAAGAGAGAGAGAGAGAGAGAGAGAGAGAGAGAGAGAGAGAGAGAGAGAGAGAGAGAGAGAGAGAGAGAGAGAGAGAGAGAGAGAGAAAATCCTATCCAGTCATCTACTTGTGAGATACAATTTTTCGTTAATTAAAGTCCTTATCCGGCTCCTGCCAGGGGCCGCAATATAGCACGGCCATAAATAAGGTCTAATGGCTGAACGCGGTTTCCGGGACCTCTCCACGGGTAATCCTCAATAACATGGTGGCACTTTGTGTCATCAGGTGTTTATCGCTTGTGTGATGTCCTGGTGGGGTAGCAAGTCAGTCAGTCAGAACAAGTCAGGAAAGGAAATTTAAAAAAAAATACTTATCATATTGAGTGTTATATCGAAAAAATTAAGGTATGCTTTCATTTCTGAGGTGCCTATGCACGAGCCGAAATTAGTCTAAACAAGTATGTAAGTCTCCCAAGGACCGCATGGGTCACATTTATGTTGTCATAGGGCCGCACGTGAAACTAATTGAGATCAGAATACCCACCCCCCCCCCCCCCCCCCCACCCCCCCCCCCCCCCCCCCCCCCACCCCCCTACCACCCCCCCCCCCCCCTAAAAAAAAAAATTAAATTCGTATAAATTAGCATTGTTAGACCAATTATATTAAAATTGTCATGTTTGGTGATATGTGTTAATACAGTTTCACACTTTAATTTAAGAAAAAAAAAATGATGTTTCTCCAATGCAACAGCCACAGTTTTGGAGAGAGAAAAAAACCACACACACAAATTTTCATATATCATCATCATCATCTAGCAGGTCATTTGCAGAACGTTGCTCTCATCACAGTCTGCCTGTAAGAAACTCAGTCTCTTGCCAGTTTCCCCGCCTCATGAACTTTCACATTCAAGGAGTCACTTATATCCTGTGCCCATCTTCGTGTAGGGTCGGGGGTCGGCCTACCTATAATACCCCTCCTTCCTGTACCATGGACATGCCTTCTGCTATAATTTTTTTTTTCCAATCCGTGTGGCGCTTGATATGACCAAAATATGTTCAGCTTTCGAGAAAGGATGCTGTTTTTTTATTAGCCAATCTTCCCCTTGATGTTCAGATCTTTTAAGATGACAATATTTCTCATCTTTTTTGTCCACGATATTATGAGATCTTTCTATAGCATTTCAGCTCAAAAGCACCCTATTCTCTTCTTAAGGACTAAGAGATAGTCCATCCCACGACTCCAACATCATCCATATGTAGCTCCACAAGGGAAGATGCATACTCTCAAAATTTCTACTTGTTATAATCCTTGAATCCTTGAGCTAGATGCTTAACCACAAGACTTTTAAGGAGAGGCTGTTTCAATAAGTCTTTGCATTGTGCCATGTCCATAGACCTCCTTTTAATTTTTCTGTCAAACAAACAGCATATCCATTGTTGTTTTATTCTAGAAGCCTAGATATTCAAGAGGTTTGTAAAACCACCTTTCAATTTCTTTTCTTCAATCAATTACTTGTTATTTTTTTTTTTTTGGGGTGACAGCCAGCTTTTAATTCTGGGACACATTATTTTTTCGTTTTTTTTTTTTTTTTTTTAAATATGGGTCACAGAACAGATTTATTGATCGTTCCACTGTGCTTTTTGTGGTGGGGACGGGACAATACTTTACCTTAATTTCTCTATTACTTTATTTTCTTACGCCCTTTAATTTCCGAACGCTTGCGAAAAAAGGAGAGGACTGTGTGTCATTTGCCGTGTAGGCGCGGAGTGCCAGAATAAAGAATTAATAAAAAATGGGGTTTGTGGCTAACCAGATTTTGAGCGTGATTCATAAACTATTCACATATATAGAATCCTAAAATTTCAGAAAAAAAAAAAGAAAAACAAAAAAAACAAAACACATAACAAGTTACATAGTTCCTAGAAATTTAAAATTAATGATTTCGTAAGCTAGCTTTACAGTCATACTTTGTAGGCTGATATGCACTAGCTTATTTTTAACTAAACCAAACCAATATTTTTAACGATTTGGGTTTACACTAATTTTAAAAATTAAAATTCTAGTTTATATAAAAGGTCACAAAATAATGTAACATCCAACATCAATAAGGCTCTATAAATACAAATTTTAATAAAAAATGGTTATTTAAAAACAAAAAACATTAAATTGTGCACAAGAATTATTTTTAATTGCTTACATTTAAATATCTAGACATGCTTTAGCAGCTAGCCTCATGCACTAATGCAAAGTAAAGCAGCTGAACGAAAAAGAATAATACAATTCATTCATATTTTAAAATGGCAACACAAACTTCAAAAATGACGACAACTGGCAAACACACAAGGCAGACTTTTGTTAATTTACGGACGACAACTATGCAAATTAATTGTACATGAAATTATGGAAAATGTTCCACCGAACATTTATTTACAACTATCTTGATACTTCCTTTTAATGAGGATTTTTGCTATGTCTAACTTAAATGTCTGTGCAGTTCCGAATTTGATCAGCGATGACAAATTTTTGATCAGGTCGACCACGAAGAGCCTTTTTTTTTTTTTTTTTTTGTTTTTTTTTTTTTTTTTTTTCATTCAGCACGGAGTTTGGGTTTAATTACATGAAGGAGAATTAACTGTTTCACAACAACTATCCTAACCTCAATACCGAAAAGTAAATAAAAAATAGTAAAAAAGGAGAATCAGTCATCGGCCTTTTTTCACCATTTTTTTTCCTTCCCCCATTCACAACTTCCAGACACCAATTCATTTCAACCACGCCTCAAGGTTGCATCCGTCGATCGAGCTGTTCGAGCTTATGGGAAAAAGGAACGAGGGCAACCCATATTTTTTTGTACAGAACCAGTCTCAATCGCGCGACACTAAGGGTCGGTAATGTAGTCAAAGCATAACGCGGCCGACATTAAAAACGACGCTACGGGAGGCCGGCCGTCATAATTACCTTTCCCATACTCCCGTACGGACCAGCAATCCCTCACTGCTCTCCTGGTAACCAATTTTTTAAGGCTCTAGGGCATGGTACCAATTTTTAATAAGGCTTTGTTAAGCTGTGGGGTGGGTCGAGAGAGTGTCGAAGACCCGCCCTGGCGAGAAAAAAAAAACCCCCCCAGGGGGACGGACGGGGAGCCCATCGTAAACAAACCACCATGATAAAAATCCCACGCACAGCCAAAACACGTGGGAGGTTTCGAGGAAACGTTGGGGCCATAATCACTGGGTGTTGGTCACTTGTTACATTTTCTTTCCTTGAAATTTTTTTTAATCTTTGCCATAGGACAGGTTGGAGGAGAAAGCCCCGCCCGGTTATTCCTCTCTACACTTTCATATTCATGTTTCAAAGATACTTTGCTCTAGTTGTAGAATATCAGAATTATGATTGCAATTTTGTCCTTAGTTCCATCCATGAAAGGACCCTCCTCGCGCTCCTTACAATGCATTTGTTGGCAAACACCAAGGGGGGAGATTGAGATGGGTGCTGAGAATATATGTCAAAGTGGTGTTCGCAGAAAATGATAAAATCTCAAAATAACGAATATAATCGTTCCTGAACATTATTTTCTTCATTATTTCTTCCTTCTTCTCTTTCTTTAATAATAATCGAACTTGAAACAGAAATCATCTGTATCTACAAAACCCTGTTGTCTTCTATTTTTGAATTCCACTTGCTGTTGTAATACCCACTCTAGAGAGGGAGCGAACCCTGTCAAGAAGAAGGGGAGAGTTTGGCTTTGCAACACCGAACAACCGGCAGACCGACCGGCTTTTCTTTCTTCTTCCTTCTCCTTGGAGGCCCCAAAGTTTTGTTGCCTTGATATATTTGGTATAGTCTCTCAGCCTGCGGAGGCAAGACGTGATCTTTTGTCCTAAGGTATCAATCCCATGTGCATTTGCATGGCAAGGTTGCACCTGGTCTGATTTGATTTGGCCAATCCTTAAGTTAAATTTCGTCGTGTACAAAAAATGTGGCTTTAAGTTGCCAAGGTAAAAATTTGTCCTTCCATTTCCCTGTTACTAAATATATTCTAATTCCTACTAAGTTCTAGACGAATGCTATCTAAGGGCGGGCCATAAATAATAAATAATTTTTCTTTTTTTCTTCCCTCTTTCCCCCTCTGCTGTGGTGTCTTTTTTCACACATAATATAAGTAATCAGCTTATGCTAGTTTTGGGGAGATTTTTTCTCCTGGAGATTTTTCGAAAGTGACTGATTTTGAATTTATTATATTTTTCTCCTGGTTGATCAAGCAAGACGGATACGTCAGTAATAGTTCTTTTTTTTTTTTTCTTCCTTCACAAATTTGTGCAAGCCCGTCCTTAGCTAGTTTTATATTAGTTTATCCATCATTTACTTTCTCTTCCCCCCCCCCCCTCCCCCTCATTTCCTCCCCCCTTCGTTTCCGGGAGAACCCTCCTACGTGAGGATGTTATTCCATTGCAGTACTCTAAAGCTAACCCGGGGTATCTATAACTAACCTCAAAAACGGACGCCACCACCCCTCAGACACAACAACCCAACTACCCACGGACCACCTAACACCGTTTTAGCCCTAGCCACCTTATGCCAGCGTCTTGATTTGTTTGGAGTAACATTGGTCCTGTATAATATGTATTTTTTTAATAAAATTTAAAAAAAAGATATTACATCACCAGTCAAAAGAGAGTGTTCTGAAGGGAAGAAGTAACCAACGCGCTATTCTTTGCCAAAACTGTAAGGTAGATAACCACATAGCACTTAACACCTCCACTCAGTGGTTGTGAAATAAACAACCCATACTATTTAGCATATCAATCTACTAGAAACGAATTTGTTGAGACAACAATTCTAATTCTAAAAAAAAAGGGACGTGTTATAGTTACAATCACAGAGAGCCAGAGCTGCTCAAGTTTACCAGATTCAGACAGGACTAATGGTAGTGTTTTTTCGCATTTCAGTTCGTTGGCCAACGTAATAAACAATACTTTGGACAACCTTGAACTCCAATTTTTCGGTGTCCAACAAACACAGCTTGTCCAAACCAACTAGGCACTGCAATATGTTTAGTTTTGATTGACGAAGTAAAGAAGTACTACTTGCTTTAATGTCAAATTGATTGGAATGTTGGGATCAGGACCCCACGTACAAAGCAAAGTAGTGATACCTTGTTTTTCTTTTATTATATTATTTTTTAATTTTATAATTACTTGGGGTCACTTTAGCAAATAAAAGAACCACTTAATTGTGCAACAATAAGAAAAAAAAATGTACCACCGAGCAATCGAAGCACAAAAGGAAGAAGACCCGTACGAGCCCCAGCTGGAGCCAGCTTTTCAATCAATTTCTCATGTGTCTAAAACCTGGTCTTTTCCAAAAAAACAGATTCTATTAAATCTGTTTGCCTTAACTGGTTTCAAACTTTCCAGCACTTGGCGACATGCCAACCATTTCGGGACTATAGTGTAGAAATGGAACATCTCTTTTCTTTATTCTTCTGTGTTAAACATCTTCAACAATTTACGGCCTGTCATCCTGACAAAAAAAACAAGTATCATTACGCCTCGAAAGTCATATGGCTTTATGACAAAACTATGCCCATGATCCAATCTTAAATTTTATTTCCACATGAAGCTTTCTATGAAATCTACTTTATTCTCGAGTTCTCTATTTTGTTCGAATACCAACCATATTCACAGTACCGTCAGTAGCTAAGCTTGCAAGGTTACTCGTATCAAACCATAGTCATACAGAGCATGCCTGACTTTCTCAAAGATGTCCTGGCTTGTTGTAGTGTCGTGGACTGGGATCAGTTCAGTTATTTCTTTATAAATATTGCATTCATTATCACAAGACCTGGTGAAAATTGCAAAGTGCTTTTCCAGTGCTGTCAACAGTCTCATCAAAGGCAACAGTAAAATGTTCAAAACTTGATGACGTGACCTTTATTTGTTTTTCTCAAATCGCTTTGCATGTAATCAATCAGGTTTTCTTTTGCTGATGAAGGTTTTCTAGCCGAGACGTTAAGATATTCGTTCATGACTGTACTATTGTAAACCTGACTAAATCAAATTCTCCTTGTGATGGATATGTTGTTATGAGGCTTCTTCAGTATGTCTGTCCAGTGTTAATGTTGGTCCCATGTCTTTAAGTGATCAATGTTTGCTATGCATCATTTCAGGATGGGTCATAAACAGGACGGTGCGCCTGAGGTCTTCACTGGAGCCCTATAGTTGATCTGACAGGGATCTGTATTCCGTGGATCATTATTGTTGACTCTGACTGGCGAGTGGGGACAGTATTGTAAGACATTTGAGATATGGAGGCTTGACTAGTTAAAATATTATTCTGACGAATCCAGGGAATGACTGACTAAGGAACAGGGAAGTAATAAAAAATGGAGGAGAGAGGGGGGAGGGGGTGGCTGTGCAGAAGAGATGTGGGTTGGTGGGGGGGGGGGGGGGGGTTACATAAGTCCACAAGGAAAACCGACAGGTGTAGAATGAGACACATATGGACTGTGTAAATAACGTCTTTAAGACGGGAGTTGGTGGGAAAGGTCAAAGCTAATGACCCATTCATAATATTTATAAAAAAAATGCACATGATAGATACGATGGAAGAATAGATTGCGAGCTTTTGATGAGTAAAATGGGACAACATGACGACAAAGTAGACGACGACGATCGTCATAATGATAGCAGGTTTATGGCAATTGCTCACCATCTTGTAATATTTGTTCTGCGGGATATGTTTTGTGATATTCGACGTTTCCGGATGCGTAAACTGATATTTCAAAGGAAAACCTGTACATGTGAAAGTTTGAAAATTGTCACCAATGGATACAAGTTTTATGATTACTGCGGTACGTTGGTAGGCTTCACCAGCGTCATCTTGGTGTCTTCCGTTGTCTCTTGTCCATTGAATCATGTCGACGTGTACTTTTGATTTACTGTCGAGTTAAACACAATACATATCCATTAAGTTAAATCTATTTTAAATATTATTCTAAAATATATCACTACAATTTATTTTAATGTATTATGCTGATAGTTACTATAATCTAATATCCTAGGTCTTTTAAAATGTCTTATCCAGACTATATTATATCTAATATTCTAACCATATTATTTTGTACTATCTAGACTATATTATAATCTATTATCATAACTATATTATAATGTATTATCCAGACTATATTATAATCTATTATGCAGGATATATTATGTTTTATCCAGACAGCTTATAGTAAGGAGACAATCTCGACAATTTTTATCTTTTGCGACTGACACCATAAGTAGTGAAGTCCATTAATTAATTAAATAATTCATTCATTCATTCATTCATTCATTCATTCATTCATTCATTCATTCACTTTAAACTTCATAAAAGGGTAACATGTATTGACAGATGTCTTGGACAGCTTTGCGCAAACATCATTCTAGATTTTAGCGAATAATAATTCTTTCACGTAAATACGCAAAAAGCTTGATTCCATATTGTTGTAAAGTAGACATTGGTCTAAATAAACATGCAGGCAAACATTCATACGACCTGACCTTGGTATTTTGTGTCCCTTTCCATGGAGCAAATTGACAACTGAAAGAAAAATAAATAAGGAACAGATATTAAAATTAACATTTATAAAAGGACTGCAACGATACTGAAGACGAAAGACAAAAAGAAAGGACGTCGTGACATTAAGAAGCAAAAAGACGCAGTGACACAAATGGTAGGTAGGTAGTTGTATCACACAAGCGATAAATACCCGATGACACTAAGTGCCACAATACGGATAAGGATCACCCGTAGAGAGTCCCCACAAACCCCTTTTAGCCGTGAAGCCATATATTTACGGCACGGATATATTCAGGGCCCCCGGCAAAAGCCAGATTGGGGCTTTATATAACCCCCCCCCCCCCCCCCCCCCCCCCGAAATGCATTCCACATAGGGATGACTATTATAGACGCAGTGACACAAATGATGACACGACAAGCTGTCGGTATAACAAGCAGAGATACAATTTAGGATGAAGAAATTAGAAGAATAGGCCTTTAACTAGTTATACAATTCATTCAAGATCTACAGATGCCACGGGGAGACACGCTGATTTAATATATTGAACGCAGACCAAGGCGAATGCCACGCAAATTATGGAACGATGGTAGCAAGATGGCGCAAATATTACAAGATCAACTTATACAGCTTATTAAAAAGGTTCCTAAGAAAAAGAAATGATAATATTAAAAATATCAGAAACCAATATAATTTCTATAGAGATTGCCTATTAATCCTGTCGAGCCTTTTCATGGATCACAAATCCAATAGCGAGTTTAGTTCAGTATTTGCTCTATTATTCGTAGCAGGATTGATTAGACGAAAATTATTTGGAAGTGGAGAATACCCTAGACAGATTAAAATACACAATGAAGATGTCTTAAAAGCCACTGACTCATGAAGAGAACTGATTGCCTACAACAGAAGAAGATAAATCTAAATTCTTGGGTCGTGAGACGAAGAACACTGGAGTACATCGTGACTGGGAAAGTTGAATGGGAAAAGAGGTAGATGGAGACCGAGAGAGAAGCTGTTGGATAGTTTGACATCATGGAATGAAAGATAATTAGTGTTAGAATTGATTCAAAGTAAATGAGACAGAAGGTTGTGGATCGACGTTACTGCCAAAGCCACACGTCATGGACTACTAAAAAAAAAAAAAAATGAAGAAGAAGAAAAAGATGAAGAAGTAGGGTTATCTGGATCTGTTCTTTCCCAACCCTGCTTGCTCCTCCCTTAGTTGTCAAAAGTATCTCTAAATTTATCCAAAAAAGAACCATTCTTATTAGTTTGTCAGGATCAGACAGGTACATAATTCCGCTATAATTTTCACACTCCTGTATGCCTCATATTGTTTTGATAGATTCACTAAGTATCCTTCTCTCAAGTCTATTGGAATTTCTTCAGTCTTCCAGACTTTAGTGAGTATTCTGTGTAGCAATTCCGTAGATGTGTTTATATTGGCAGGACGACATTTCATGAGTTGGTTGAGGGACTATGCTCCATTGCGGGATTAAGAAGCAGAATATATATAGACAAACGTCAGCGAGGTAGCTGGTTCTCTCATGTTACAGTCCTATAAATAAACAGAGGGGGAACCTTTAAGGCCGTTACATATTATGAATTAATCAAGCAACAGAAAGTGTATTGATCGGCACTCATAGAAAGAAGTAGAAAGAAGTGTGTTCTTCTAACTTTCTACTTCTTTCTATGAGTGCCGATCAATACACTTTCTGTTACTTGATTATCTCATGTTACATGCCTTTCTAGGAACCAGTAGCTCTTTCTGTACATTGTGTCTGGGTTTGTTTAGGATTTTACAGTTAAAATGGAGAGGACCGACTTTATTGTAGTGGGTTATCCCATTTTAGTTGGTCTCTATTCGCAGCACAGCTAGCGACATGCCGGGAGTGTCGCACAAACCACGAACTCGGTAGCCTCAGGGACGAACAGCATGCATCTTTGTAAAAACTGAACTCGTAAGCAGTAAGTCCATAAAGAAAACGCACAACCTTCATAACGCTAGGCAAACAGCGTGATCACTTCGTCATGAAGACCCTTAAAGAATGGAGTACCTATATTCTGTAGAGGCGACAGTGCCGGCTTCAGACAAATCCTATGCAATCAGTATTTCATTTCTCCTTGTGGGTTCCGGGACCCCATTGTGGGTGGGGGGGGGGGAGGGGAACAAGAATAGACTCACTGCCTCCCTAAAAAGTATGCCGTAAGAGTCGACTAGCTCGAAGTCAGAGTGTATTTGCCTGAGAGGCAAGAAACCTACAGTCTGCATAAAAAAAAATCAGATTGTAAAACGGATGTGCACGCAACACTCAGGTTCTGGAACAAGACAAAAGTTCAGAGGTGGACGAATATCCAGAACACTGCAACGGAGTTTACAGCCGGTGAAAGCGAAGAAGAGGCAACGCTGTTATGGTGACCGTGTGGGGGAGGAGAGAGGTGGGGGGGGGGGGGGGGGAGATATTGAAAGCAAACTAGCGGGAGACAGACAGCAACGCATGTTAGATAACAACATCAAGAGATGGGCGAACAGCGCACTGACAGAGTGTACATCCAGGAGGAAAGACAGAGCTTGTTGGTGATTCATAGCCGCTAACCATAACTGTGGATCCTGACCGGCTGAGTTTCTTTCAAAGTCGGAGTGCGTCTACTTGAAAGGCGATAAACCAACAGTCTGCATGCATATAAGGTCAGATTTGTAAAACAGACACGCAAGACCAAAGGACCAAAGTGGATGAACAACTGTAGCTTTCCACCCGAATTTACAGCAGGTGGACGCTAACAAAAAGAGAAAGAAAACTGAGTCAAGTATTTAACTGCAGCTGCCTTGCTTGCAACAGACCATATAATTTCATGAGACTGGAGCAACAGCTTCGTTTTTAAAATAACAATCGCGCGGATGAAAATATTGAGCGTAAAACGTCCCTGCAGCAAAACATACCTTTTTGTGTGAGTTAATGTTGGTTCTGATTACTCGTTGGTTCAAGGACATTAATGGGCGGGAGTTGATTTCTAGCAACACTCCTGGCAGATTTCTTTTACCGTTGAAAAACAATCGCAGATCTGTAAACTAAAGCACATTGACCATATAATTACAATATATAAATGTGACGAGTCAAACTTTTACAGTATATCAATAATAGATTTAATCGTTCTTATCTTTGAAACCATACATCATCATTAAAAACATGAGGGAGGAAATTTTATTGCAATTCAATGCATTGTTATTCACAAAGAGAGTGTATGTGCTGTGTGTGTGTGTGTGTGTGTGTGTGTGTGTGTCTGTGTATGTGTGTGCGGGTGCGAGTGCGTGCTTGCAAAATAGAACTCCATAGCTTATCCTGAAATAGTTTAAAAATCAAAGTCAATGTTCTCATTAGACAAACACAAATTACCAGAATAAAAGCTTATAAAACTGATTCAAAATATTAAAATATATCAGAAAGCTAAGTTAAACTCACGACTGAAACTATAGTAGTAATGTAACTGATGTATGTGGTAACGACAGGCACATTCGCTTCAGCTGGGGACGGCTGTAGTGAAATGGCTACACCCTCGCCCTCCGCACGATGGTAAAGGATTCAAATTCTCATCGAGGCGGATTTTGTTGTTGAAAGCTTGACCCTTTCTCCCAGACTTGACCCTGCCTAAACAGTTGGTACCAGGTAATGTCATGCGAAGAAAAGGCAGCCAGTGTTTTGTTGACCCAATCATTCATCGAGTGCTGTTGGTCTATGCAAATGTAAGTCTAGCACTACATTCCTAATGAAGGTTCCGGGTTCATGTCCTGACTTTAAAATAAAAAGTCCATGGCTCTCATTTCCACCCAGTCTAAATTGGGTACGAGTTAGAGCTCTGGGAAATAAAGGCGGCTGGCGTGATGTTGTCTGCATAAGTAGTACTCTAGGTTAATATTAGGTAGCATGGTGCCACCACCCCGATTAGTGCTGCGTGGTGCTGCCTGCTACAGTCTGATGCTGTCTCCAGTGACCTGCTGCACCACGACGTGTGAAATTTGAGAAAGAAGAAATAATTTGGACATATAATGCAGCATTTTTATTTACTTTTTAAATAAAATTAAAAAAAAAAAACCCGAAATTGTGGAGTCAAGACGTCGCGGTGGTGTGTCAGCTGAGGAGATTTAGGGTCATCTACCAATCATTGGTCCTCACCTGGTCGATCCCAACGATCAAAGGTTTATTCATAATAATCCAGGTAACAGATTCATGACATCCAGGCTGCGTCAGTGACCCCTCGTAGGTCATGTACTCTTCTGTCTTTGGGAGGATATCAGGAAGAGAAACCTGGCTCACTTGTCTCATGCTGCCTTGTGCCATGGAATAAATGACAACATCAGATATGTGTACATTAAGTCTGGGACGGAACCAGTACTAAACTACATCAAAAGACAACCGATCAAATTTGTTGAACATGTGTTACGACTGACACCAAACAGTGCACCACAGAGGCCTTTGGTGTGCACCACAGAGGCCTTCTTACGGTCCAAATGGAGGATATGCACCTTTACTGTTTTTAGTCGTGGTAAATGTTTGCTTCTGACAGATGGTGGCCGTTGCATTTTCCACCATTTGTAGACTGAAAGGATTTAGTTTTGTCGCCTAGCTACTGATTTGTGTGCATGTCGCAGCACTGTTGCTGCGGATTTCATTTGGAATAATTTGTTTTTATCTTTGACCAACGTGGTGCTGTGAACTGTTGATTCAGAAAATGGCGAGTGGCCTGTTGCCACAGAATTTTTGATGCATCATGTGATAAAAATTAATCGTGTGTGCAACTACTGTTTTGTTTTTAACTTATGTTTTCGTCAACGATCAACTGCATTTCTGATGGATGCCTTAAACTTTTGATGCCTGTGTGTGCTAACGGATATGCTGAGACTGCAGTTTGTGTTAAATTTTCCATATAGGACAGAGAGGGGCATTATGTGTGTTTTTCGTTTACTCAGAAGCGGAGCAACTATAAGGTGACCCATTTGATATGAAGCTGAAACTAAGATTACCAGAGAGCTCTGGCACTAAGACACAATGGAAGCAGAACAAGAGGTTGACCATGCAAGCAATGGGAAGACATAATATCCTAGGCCAGGTTATCCCATATGGCTCGGTCCATCTTCATAGAATGAGTTAACTGCCTGCCGAGAGCGACACACAAAACATGGACTCCGTAGCTTCAGTGACATCCCTAAAGATCCCTGTAAAAATCACATTCGTGAACTGAATGAAGGACACGTCCGTGAAACGAACCGATGATCTTCAGATTACGGGGCAAACGGTTGATCACTTATACAATCTAGTATCTAAGATAGGTGGCTGGATGCCCAGACCAAAGTATCTCGTCAGTTCTCGTTTCATCGCCTCTCTAGAGAGGGATAATGTATTATATTCGGACTAAGGACAAGGCACAACAGACTTCGGCAACATATGTTCAAACTTTTCGGTGTAGGAAACACAAAAACATGTCTATCCCTGCAGCGTGGCAGAATAAAATGCTGAGTATGTGCTCCAACACTGTCAACTGTATGCTGACAACAGAGACGCAATCTGGCCTGTTTCAACAACAATGAAGACAAAACTGTAGGGTACACGAGAAGATATGGACTGCCCGATAGCTTTCATAAAGGCTACCGGCCTCCCGATATGCGTTTTCTGACAGAAGGATAGAAGAAGAAGAAGATCACCTAGTTCTCTTCTATCTCGTGCAATTCTTCCTTTTGAGGCCTATATGGAAGGATAGTGTCCCAAACTAGACTTGGCTTGCAAGGTTTCAGTATTTCGACTCACACTAACTGAAGTGGTAAACCCAACATAAAATGTGACTAGAAAGCTCAACAAAGGGAATGGAGAAGACGCGCCCAAACACAACCCAACGTGTCGACCAAAGTCTGTATAAGCGGAATACCAAATAGAATGGTATATGTCATTAACACCTCAGTCAAGGCAAGCCAACATAAAGCGAGAAAATAATTGGCGGGGGTTGGGGGGGGGGGGGGGGGGTGGGAATACAAGCAAAAAGCGGTTATATTGCAAAATGACACACATTATGTTGCATTTTCAACTTTTTTTGTCATCAGTTAGACTACTGTAACCACTATTTACATTACACCAAATGAAGCAGCTGGACCACTGGCACTCCCATTTACATCACACCAAATGAAGCAGCTGGACCACTGGCACTCCCATTTACATCACACCAAATGAAGCAGCTGGACCACTGGCACTCCCATTCACATCGCACCAAATGAAGCAGCTGGACCACTGGCACTCCCATTTACATCACACCAAATGAGGCAGCTGGACCACTGGCACTCCCATTTACATCACACCAAATGAAGCTTGGCAAATGCTAGACGAGGCTTGAGTCACTAGAGGTCATGCTTCTTTTTTATATACTTGTTCACTTTCACCAGTTAGAGATTGGGGTGGGGGGTCTGAGGGGTAGGGGGGGGGATGTAAAATCTTCTGTGTGCTCCTATCAATGCATTGTATAAACTGGTTGGCCTCTTAAGAAAATGATTGTTGACGTTCTATATACTGTATGGTCTCCTCCTTTATTTGTGTCCATTATATTTATTGAGCGGGGGTTCCCAGTGGCACTTGGTGCTAGGGCAGTCTCATTAGATGGCCAAACGTTGTCCCCTGCTTCTCTTTCGTAAACTGTTTATGACTTGTTTGTGTAACAGTCTTTGTATATTTTCTTAGTCGTTTTTTAATTTCAGCTCTTCTTATTAGAGGAGCGAGAGCCAATGTGGTGTAGCGGCTAGATGCTCGACTTCGGGTCTGAAAATCATTGGTTCAGATTCTGACGGAACCGGACAATTTCCATTAAACGCTTTGGCTGCCATGTTGGGTCAGTTATAAATGTGAAACAGGTAAATTACTCGGAAGTAAAGGTGGCTTTTATGATGCTGACCACATAGCCACCGAGTTCAGACTGAATGATAAAATATAGATCTAGCCCTATGTGTCCAGGAAGGCTGGGAAAAGAGTTCTTTATTTTGTTATCTGATCAGCTATTCTAAGACTCTGCATTTCTGTAGTTATGAATACCAAAGGCGAGAGGAGCTTTCATAGCACTAGGGAATTTGTGGAGGTCAAAAAAAATTTAAAGAAATACTAAACTAATTTTTTTTTTAATTCTAATGTCAAATCAGTACTTTTGTATGGGGCGGAAACATGGAGAATATCCAAGGCAATTACTAACAAATTATAGATATTCATTAACTGGTGCTTGCGCAGAATCGGGGGAATTAAATGGTGTGATAGAATAACTAATGTAGAGCTTTGGTAGAGAACTAATCAGGCTGCAGTGGAACAAGAGGTGAGGGAAAAGACGCTGGCGCTGGATTGGACACACACTGAGAAAACAGGAGAACAGCATAACCAGAATGTCTTTGCATTGGAACCCACAGAGGCATACGAATAAAGAAAGGGCAAAAAACACACGGAGAAGAGAGCTGGAGAATGAAGTTAGAAAGATGGGGAGGACATGGGAAGAGCTCCATGCAATGACGAAGGATAGAACGACTTGGCGTGAGTTGGTTGAGGGCCTATGTTCCACTGGGGGATGAAAAGGCAGAAGAAGAAAGAAGAAGTTGTAGTAAAGGCCCATGTTTGACACCGGTAGCACAAGGGTTTGATGCACTCTATGCTTAGAGTTTACAATAGCAGAAATTTATTACGAAAACCCATAGAATCAGATCGGAGCTTAAGCGTACCTTTGAACCGCAGCCATCTCAGCTGTCTTGATATAACGAAGAACTCTTTATGAACTTCAGGTCGTATCTGCATGATAGGAAAATTTGTAATTTGTTATTTTTTATGGAAATATTGTTAAATTTGATTTATAAGTTAGTAAGTTACGTTTAATATCTACGTCGTATCGAGTATATGATGCTAGAATAATATTTCATGGACAAACTGCACTTTGTAGATGATGTCGTTAACATTACACTGAGCGCATTTACTTTTTACGACATTACCTGGTACACATTGCAGTCTGTTTCAAGCAGGTAGCCAATTTCAATTAAAAAAAAAAAAAAGAAACACTTGAAACTTGTATAGTTATGTCGACATTCACTTGTAAAATGAAGCACAAAACTGAATCACGTCCTCGAAAATAATCAAATGAAATTGTCTTTGCTACTTACCCTGTACATCTTCATTAATTGTCTTTGCTACTTACCCTGTACATCTTCATTACCTGAAGTTTAAGGTAGTCACGTGGTTTCACATTTACAACGTCGCTTTTGGGTTGTCTACGTGTGTGTGTTTTCTATTTCATTACATTAATGTTTATGTAATTTTGTAATAATACACCTAACGAGAATTGAGCATTGTGACGTCTGTGTCCACAATAATTGCATTTACTACAGAGAAATACTGTTCTGAGTATCATAAATACCCCGCTGATAAAAAATTACCTCAACGAAGACAGCAATAATAGCAAGGCCTTTGACTGATCGTCGAGCCTCTGACACGTTCTTGTAGAGGTCGCTGTTGTAGGCAATGATGTGCATCTGCAGGAGAATCAACTGTTAGTGATATCAACATCTAAATGTGCTTCAGATGCGGACGACGCGATGATGTGAATGTCCCGTGTTGCGATATCGGTTTTTGACTTGACTTTACTCAACAGGTAGGTAACTGGGGGTGGATGCGGGGGGGGGGGGACTATGTTGTCAACTACTGGTTGTCATAGGGTTGCGAAAAGTCATGTCAACCAATTAGGGGTTGGAGAGAGAGAGAGACAGAGAGAGAGAGAGAGAGTGTGTGTGTGTGTGAGAGAGAGAGAGAGAGAGAGAGAGAGAGAGAGAGAGAAATAGACCGCGGCAGAGAAAACAAAACAAAGGAACTATTTTTATTTTCAAAAAGTTGGGGGGTGGGGAGTTCAATTTTCAGCTAGACATTCAAAGCAGTCTAAATCTTCTTTAAATAAAGGTAAAAATGTAAATGCCTAATGATAATGACGATGTGGTAATAATAATAATAATGATAATAATATTATTATTAATAATATGCTGAATGCAAGCATGTATAATAATATATTTGAAAGAATCCAATACAGCTAAACAAAAACTGAAAAGGGAACTTTAAATATTCAGGGTAAGGTGGGGGCAGGCTTTTACACAGCGGGGGAAAAGTAAAGAATGGGGTGGGGGGGGGGGGCTGGGGGGGTGGGGGGGGGGGGGGGGGGGAGAAGCTCAAACGGTAATCCCTATTGAACGGGCTCAGGCCACTTGATAAAATTCCCTCCTCTTCCATCCTCAACCAAACCCTATTTTTTTGTGTGGTGGCTATTTGTATATGAAAGTGGGCACATAATTATATTTTTACTTTTATTATTAAATGTATACTCTTATAAGACTATGAGACCCCCGTGAGCTCCCTAATTTTTGAACATTATTTTCTCTGTGTCAGAGCGCCCGCTTAGAATACTAATTGCACCCATCATGTCTCGTAACTGTGAGAATTAATTCCCCAGAACTGGTGGTTATAAAATAACAACCGGAACATCCGC